AATAAATAAAACACACATTACAACCCAGGATTTTTTTTATTGAAACCTCAGAAACTAAATTCTATTTCTTTCAAGAGCTGGAGTGGCAGAAAATATAGCGCATCCTGCTCAAACTTGAAATATTAAGGCTCATTCAAACTAAACAGTTTAAATTTCCTTTTCTGTCAAAGCTGTCTAATTTTACATGGYTTGACTAAAGAAAATAAATAAATAAATAAAAACTTCTCCAACAAGATGGTATTTGTCTGCTTCCAAATATGTACCTCTAAAAGCATCAAGTTACCACACTGTTGGACTCGATGGAGGGACCAAAACATGTTTAAGTTCCGCCAAACAAAAAGCGCAAACGCTGCAGGAAAACAGTGCCCTTTAACAATTACAGAACTGTGACATTAAAAACCAATAGCCAAAAACGCCCAGAGTAATTAGAAGTGCCATTTTACATTTTCTTTACAAGAGTTCACGCTTGACCACTGGTGCTGCTGCAGATCACAGCTGGTGATTCATGGGAGATTAAATATGTGCTCATTTTGAATTATGATATTTAATACCAACAGCCTATTTCAGAAAAGCATAAACAGCAGCAAAAGAATAAATAAAATGTAAGGAAATTTGTGTTTGTTGGATTATTTCTTTATTGTAACAATGCTTCTTGGCAATAAATCTTATCGTTCAGAAGCTTGCTAAATTATCTTTTAAATGGTGCCACATTTGTWAGGAACATGCATTTGTGGGATGAGCAATAGAGCTGAGTGTGTGGGTTGTGCACATGAAAAAAATGTGACAAATCCTCTCTGTCATTATTCTGTCAAGACTATTAAAACAATGAAACTGCATCATGATGCTCATGAGCTGACAAATGTGTACACACAAAGATATGTTTTCTCCCTTAAATCAGACCTGATGGCAGTCAGTGTCATACCTCTGATGTCTTCRGGCAACACAATAGGAGGCATGAGATCAGGCAGCTCCTCTTCACCTGCCTGCAGCCCTGTGGCTCGGAGACGGCTTAAATCCAGAAAGTCTGGAACATCGATGGCCAAGTCTGCACAACAGATACAGACCGGTGTGAACAGAAGGATGTGAAGCAAAACGTTATCTCTACCTGTAGTTAGATGGTGCCCTCTGCTGGGCATTTTCAGTGCTAAGAACTTGTAAAACARTGGCGAAACCCAATAAACACACTATGGCAAGTTACCGAGTTTCTTTGGAACCCAGTCAACACCAAACGTGAATTTCTTTATCTGCACAATCAGATACTCTGGGAACGAGGCAAAACGGCACGTTCTGTGGAGAAAAATCAGTGAGAGACAGCCTTTTGTTAAAAAAGGTTCATCAAAGCACCAAAGGTGAGGCAAGTAGAGAAAACACAACAGGTGCTTACTTGACTCCAGCTGACTTGGCCTGCAGCGCTGAGCTCCAGAAGTCTGGGACATTTTCTGGTTCTGTGAAAGCCTGCAGACATGCAGTGAAAGGGATGCGTGCTCGCACCGGTTCTGGGAGAGCCCGCATGTTCTCCTCAGCTTCTTTTCTCTTGACTTCATAAGCCAGCAGCTCCTCTGGATGATAGAATAAACAAGTTCAACATCAAAATGTGAACACAATGATGTGATTGTGATGCTGTATTTCTGAGTGTTTYATGTGCTGCAGAATAGGAACCTGCTGTAAAACAGCAATTATGCTGAGTCAGGCTTGATTTTTAGTAATCTTTTCCTGTTAAATCAAAAAAAAGTGTCAAAGTAAAGCATTTATTGTAAACCATTAAAAAGGTAATTCTCCAGCTCACATATGTAACAGACCTAACAGATCATTTTAAGTAAATTTGGCTCTTCGTAAAATTAAACATCTCTCAGCCTTCTGACATTTTTCAGACCAGAACCTGATGAGCCTGTAGCAGCACAGTGTAAGTGTGTGTGTGTGTGTGTGCGTGAGACACAGTGCCTGGACTCCTGTACCTCGATTGGTGGCTGCCTCGATGGGAGCTGGCAGCTGGATGCAGTAGTCAACCCTCTGAGTGTAACGAACCCGACGTGTCTGACAGCACTGAACTCTCTCCTCCACCAGGAAGCGGAAAACATCGCTTGGATTCTCCGAGCCGGCACTGTTCCTCTGCAGAAACAACACGCAAGAGTTACACAACACTGCAATTAAAATCAAAACAAATACGCAATTTCAGAAAAAAAATAAATGAGATGATGTCGAGTTATTTTGATGCTGGGCTCTGGTGGAGGCCTCAACAATCGCCTGGATCAAAGACTACCTGACAAACAGACAGTTTGTGAGACTGAAGGACTGTGTGTCTAACCAGGTGGTCACACAGGAGCACCTCAGGGAACTGTACTCTCACCATTCCTGTTCACACTGTACACTTCAGACTTCCAGCACAAGTCAGACTGCTGTCATCCACAGAAATGCTCAGATGACTGCAGTTGTTGGGTGTATCGGAGATGGACAGGAAGCTGAGGACAGAGGACCGCTTTGTGGCATGGTGTGGGAACAATCATCTCATCTTGAATGTGAACAAAACAAAGATGATTGTAGATTTCAGGAGAAACAGTGC